CGTGCTAAAAGGAAGCCCGTTCCCACGAGATCGGATATAGATTTCCAGCAGACCGTTCCAGGTCAACGGTCCTCCCCCAGTTATTAACCCCAATCAGGGGTGAAATCCTCCCGGTTCAGCCGAACCAGAAGGGACGATTGGCATCAGTTCGCCAGACCGGTGGCAGAAATCCCGCCTGGTCGCCCTGTTGCCGCTCACCTCTTCCTTGGTCTTCTAGTCCAACCCCCTGCTCAAGTAGGAGACCCTCTTATCATTTCAGACAAATGGTTGTCCAATCTCTTCTTGAAGGCCTCCTGAGATGGAGCACCTACAACCTCATTGTTCTTCTACAAGGTAGAATATTTAAATTTAAAAATAAATAAATTAAATGATGGTGTTTCTTCCTCGGTTTTCCTGCAGGTCCCTCCCACCAGGCGTTTCTCGCACGACGAAACTGAGATTTGGACCACCAGCCAGATTTCGGCCTACTTTCAGCATTGGGTGGCAGGAGAGGACATCACCGCTGAATTGGCAAGCCTGCTCCTCCCTCAGCCTCGATACGACCGGCGGAGGACCAGCGTCCTCTCCTACCAGGAGGAACGCCGTCCGCACCGGAAGCGCAGGAAGTCCGCCGAGAGCCCATTATCCCTCAAGCCCTTCTCGTGCGAAGACATCCACCGGCAGGGAGGCTACAAGTGCTTTAGCAAAGAGGACGTGATGGACTTCACGGATTACCCCAGCCCCCGTCGTACCCCGAGGAGACCCCCGGTGCGCTCGGCCTCCGTCTCTCTCCTCCCAGATGCTTTTCCCCGCCGTTCCACCGCCGCGGTTCTCCGGGACTTCCCTTTGGCCACTTTCGAACGAGAGCCTCAAGTTTTGCGAAGCATCTCAGTCCAGGGACGAGGGACTTCTCTGGCGGTACCAGTCTCTCTCCCGGCCCAGGAGGACATACGGACCCTCTTCCCCAAAGGGAGCTTGGACATGCCTTGCCACGAACAGATTCACGTGGAACTCTGCGAGAGTCCCGGGATGGAGGATTGTCCGATGATCAGGAGTTGCTCCAAGCCTGAATGTTTCCGGGCAGGACTGAGTCCTTCCTGGAGAGGCCAAGACGATCTTCAGAAAAACGGAAGCAAAGGAAGCACGAGCAGTTTCTTGAGCTCACCTTCAGCCTCCTCGGGATACGTCACGTTCCACTCGGATTCGATTAGCTCGGCCTCGTAGACACTGGAGAAGCTGGGATCGCTTCGTACGAGTCTCTTCCAGAGGGCCCCGGATAGCTCGTCGCGAGACAACTCGAGACGATTCGAGACTGCATTATAATCAATCCACTCAGTTACTTTACGACGGGCGGGAACGTTTTTGTTGACATTTTTGTAACTCTCGTATTTCCGCAATGACTTCCTTTTGTTATCATGGGCCACGGTTCCGTCGAAATGAACTTTTGTATCGGTTGAATTGTCCTGCGGCGACTCGGCTGCGGCGAATCGCTCCCGTCCAGCTTCCAGATTTTGTTTCTCGCCCGACGGGGGCTTCCTCCTGGATGCGGTCCGGATTTGGCACCAGGAACTGGACATAGCACCAAAGAACCTTCATCTTGTCTCTCGTCCTGGTTGTCAAGATCAGGGGAGAGAGAGAGGTTAAAAGCAGGATGCTTCCGAGAGCAACCTTGGAAGAAAAGCACTTCGAATCCAGACGGGTCATATCTCAGCTCGGGGCAAGAGAGGATAAAGTCCTCCTCTCTTCCTTTTCTACTGCAAGAACCCACACAGCTCGTCCAAAACTGACGGATATTTTTGGTTCGTTTTTTTTCTAATCATCTCACGTCCTCTGCGAGAACTTTTCTAGGTAGATGTTAAATGTGCATGTCTTTGGGTATCGATCCTTCTCTCTTGGAGGCAGCTGTGGCCAAAAAGAGCCGGGTTTCCCTTTAAAAAAAACCTGCGCAGGGTACGTGCTCCAAATTTCCCCCATCCTTGCTCTACATTCCAACAGGCCCTCTTTGCGAGCAACGAGGAGGTCATGGGTGAGACCCGCGTGTGGTCCGTTATTCCGAAATAGTGTCAGGTGCATGGGGTCCGTTATTCCAGAATAGTGTTGCATGCACAATGGTCCGTTATTCCAGAATAATGCGTGCGTGGATCTGGTCCCGTTATTCCGAAATAAGGTTGCATTCATTCGGTCCGTTATTTCAGAATAATGTCAGCTGCACGGAGTCCGTTATTCCAGAATAGCGTCAATGTTGGGAATGGGACAAAGTGGTTGTTTGAAAAAAAATAATAATAATAATTGAGGGTTTTTCTCAGGAGCAAAATTTAAGTCCGATCCAGGAAAAACCCCATGAGGTTCGTTCCCTTACCCCTTAAGCAAGAAAACTCACCACCCTACCTCCTGTTCTGTGCCAAAGCCTCCCCCCCACATCCTGGACGGAGCCACAGCCCCATAACCTCCTACGGGATGCAGCAACGGGAGAGGAGGAGGAAGGTTGCGCTACGAAATTTGCAGCTTTCCTTTTGCAGCATCTCCCTCGAGCAATACAACCAGGGGTTATGGGTCAGGGGTTGCCCTGACCCATAACCAGTGGAGTTGCTTCCCTATATAATGGGGGGTGGGGGGGTGGGAGGAAATGCATGGATCACTTCAGATCCAGCTCCATGGGGAACGTTTTAGCGCTGTTAAGGCTCCTTGTTGTATATTAGGGGACACCACATTTATTTTTTTCTCCTGNGGGGGGGGGGGAAGAACGACATTTTTAGTTAGCCTGCGTTATTATGTCTGCCAGAAAGGTGGCAGATGAAACATTCTGTCGGAGGAGAAATTATTTCTTCGGCAGTTGGAAGGCGTTTCATTTTTCCCACCGTGGTTGAGAAGGCAAGGCGGAAATGCAGAAAGGATGAGGAATATTTACCGAACGAATAAGAATTTCACATATACTTTTTTTTTCATGTGCATTGCATTATTATTGTTATTATTATATATAATGCATCTTGGCATAATATAGTATGGTTTAGTATTGCATTACACTACACTGTATTATTCTATATTATTCTATTAAAATAATAAAAATCAAATAATGAAGCAGAATGCAATGAAATTAAAAAATACAATTGCTTTAAAAAAAATTTAAATCGATTAAGTTAAATTGGATGGTCCTTCCCTTCCAGAAACATGGGCCATCACACCATGTCGGTCAAACCCTGCTTGTCGGTGCGCAGGTGGGGGGCTCCCCCTCCTCTGACCCACCCCTGATGGCGCCGCCTCTCCGGTAGGATGCCTCCCCTGCCCGCCATCTTCCTGGCTCGCCATCCTCACCTGGCCTCCCCGGCTGGCGGCAGCCCCGCCCTCCATCATGAACCGCGAGCGGACCCTGCACGACAACGCGGTGGCCTGGCTGGTGTGCTCGGGCTTGGCGGTGCTGGCCAACGCTTGGGGCATCCTGAGTGTCAGCGCCAAGCAGAAGAAGTGGAAGCCGCTGGAGTTCCTCATCTGCACCCTGGCGGGGACTCACATCCTGAACATCGCCGTGCCCATCACCATGTACTCGGTCGTCCAGCTGCGCCAGCAGCACTCGGACTACGAGTGGAACGAGGGCCTCTGCAAGGTCTTCGTCTCCACCTTCTACACCTTGACGCTGGCCACCTGCTTCTCCGTCACCTCGCTGTCCTATCACCGGATGTGGATGGTCCGCTGGCCGGTTAACTACAGGTGGGACCTCGGGGTGGGAGGCGGGGTGGTTGAGGGGGAGGGGGGTGGAAGAGGAGGAGAAACGCTGAGGAGGCCGCCGTGAGCTCCTGAACAAAACGGCGGTATGCGGATCCAAGGAATTAGGGAGATGAAATTTTCTGAGATGGAAAATCGGTCTCTCCTTCAATCGTCTGTCCATGCATTGATCCATCCATCCACCTATTCATCTGCCTATCCATCTCTTCAAAAGCCGAGGTGGCGCAGTGGTTAAATGCAGCACTGCAGGCTACTTCAGCTGACTGCTAAGCTGCAGTTCGGCGGTTCAAATCTCACCGGCTCAAGGTTGNGCAGGTTGTTGGTATCCACGGGTGGATCACAGGCAAGTCCTCATTGTACGGCCACAATTGAGCCTGACATTCCCGTGGTTAAGCGAAACAGTTGCGGAGTGAGTTTTGCCTGGTTTCATGACCGTTTTTGTAAGCGAATCACGACCGTTGTTAAGCGAATCTCACTTTCCTGCTTACCAGGAGGTTGCGAAAGGGGATTGTGTGACACACACACACACACACCCCGGATAGTGCGCCCGTCATAACTCTGAGCCAGTGGCTAAGCGTCTGAATGTTGACCTCGTAACCCTGGGTATGCGGCGGTGGTTGTAAGTGCGAGGACTGGTTCTAAGTCGCTTTTTTCAGTGTCGTAGCTTCGAAGCGGTCGCTGAACGAACTGTTGTAACTCCTATCTGAAACTATACCTTTTGATGGGCAATTATAACCATCCTGGCGCATTCCCACATTTCCATATGAAATTATTCTTTCACTTCATTCCACATATACAGGCATGTCCTTGACTTACAACCATTCACTTAGTGACCGTCCGGAGTTACGACGGCACTGGGGGGGAAAAGTAACAGGACTGGATTTTTCGAACTTACGGCCGTCGCAGTATCCCCGTAGTGGTGGGATCATTGATGACTCGCCTTTACGACGGTTGCAGCGTCCCTGGGGTCATGCGGCCCCCCCTTTTGCAACCGTCCAATAAGCAAACTCAATCTGGATTCACTTAACAACCGTGGGACTAACTTAATAACGGCAGCCATTCACTTTTAACAACGGTGCCAAGAAAGGTTATAAGACGCGGCGAAAATCACTTTAACAGTTGTCTGGCTTAGCGGCAGAAATGCAGGGCTCTGTTGCGGTCGTAAGAGGAGGACTTTCGTACACTTCCTCTTTCCTCACCGTCCGTCTCCCTTGGAGTTTTGGGGGGCTCATTCCTGGTTGTTTGAACCCCCAAATTCGCAGCCAGACCGGGGGGGGGGGGGAAGCCGGCCCGGAGAGGCGAGATTGTGCCCAAATAATCATAATGGCTTTAATCTCACTTTGGCGAGTTTTCTTTCCCATCACAGAAATTTCCAAGCCTGGAATTACGATCAAGGGGTGACTCCCACACACTTGTGTTGTGTGTTTTCAGGAGCCGCTCCTCCTCCTCACAACCCCTGGGCTAATTGTGAGTCAGCTCGTGTTGCAGTTGTGGGGGGAGAATTATGTCACAGCAGGATTGATTCTGGATCTATAGCCGAATGCATCCCAGAGGTCATCTAGTCTGACCCCCTCTCTGTGAGCTTGTCGGTGTGTTTGTGTGTGTGTGTGTGTGTGTGTGCGGTTTAAGCTGGGCTTAAGTGTGTTGTGTGAAGCCCCTTGGCAAGGAGAGAGAGAGAGAGAGAGAGCACAATTTGGCAGGGCTCCTGTGC